GAGTCCAGGACAGAAGCGACCGAACTAAAAGCGGGGTCCTTAGGGCCAACCTCCAAAGCCAGACTCGAAGTGAGGCACCTGCCTACAATACCCCGTGACAGCGTGCTGGCAAGGGCACGCCTCCACTGCAACAGCACGGAGGGGGCAACACCGAACACTTTCCAAGCGTGTGAGGCCTGGGGGAGGGCTCCCGTGAGCACTAGCTTAGGCCCCACCTTACGCGGAGCAACTCTGGCCAGCTTGTTGATGCGATGAACACGCCGATGCGCCTGGGCGATGCGCTTAGCGTGGCGAGGCTTCGAAATCTTCACGCCGCTGCCGCGCTCAATACCCAAATCGGCGGCGACCGACACAGCCTCGACAACAACACCTCTCGCACCCAAGTCAGCCTTAAGTTCACGAGCTACATCTAAGTCAGAAGCAATACTGGTGGACTTGGACGCAAGCTTGAGACCTTCTCTCTCGCACCCTTTAGCGAAGGCGATTCCCGCACTCACGAGGTGGTCAACAACATCGCGGCGACTCCCCTCCGCTCTCTGAGTGACATCATCAATCCAAGTGCGCAACTGGGCCAAAGAGCTAGCGGCTACTGACAACTCACATATTGAAAACATTTGACACTTGGCGAAATCGGGAGCGCGCCTCGCACCTGCCACAAGCCCTCCAGAAGGAATACTGGGAGGGGCAACACACCCCGCGTCCCTCAAAATCCGAGGGCCCATATGCAGGAGAGCTTCCAATGAGAGGCAAATGGCAGGGAAGTCTAAAGTGAGGGCGTGGGCAACAACCTTTTCCCAGCGAATGGTGTCGTAAAAGGCTTCGACGTCCCATAAATTAGACGCGGAGCAATTCTGGGGCAGCGCTGAAGATAACGCCGCCTCATCAGCGTAACACCTGAGCAGAGCCTCCCGCAGAGCGCTGTTGCCTCGCACAGCGGCGTCCCACGGGCCAGAGCGAGTCTCGGCCCAGACTTCCGCAGGACGAGACCGCAAGCGACTCCGCAGACGACCCAGCCAAGTGAGAAGGCCGATGGCGCGATCCTTACGCACATCAGGCTTCCGCAAAAGAACAAAGATGGCTGTGAGTCACTGCCAGGGCCAAGCAACAGCCCGCTCAATCTGCTGGAAAAGCTCAAGCAATTGGTGGCGGCCCGCCTCAGGCAGCCACCAAACATCACGCTGCCGAACTCCATCAATGCCTGAAGCCTTCGACGGAGAAATAGCCATCAAAGCCGCCTCCAGGTTGTCCAGCGAGAGTGGGGGACGGTCCTCAGCTCTGGCAAGCTCCCTCGCCTGCTGCAAGACCTTCATGGCCTCGGCGCTGCTGAAATGCACTGGTGACCATAGCTTGTCCCACACCTGACGCTTCGCCTCCATGAGGGAGGCGCCATCGAAGGTGGTACTCTCGGCAAAACGAATCTCGCTGACCTCTGCCATCGGGTCCTTCACGTGGCGGTGAAGGGCCCCGGTGCCGTTGATCGCGTGCTGGCACACCCAATCTCTGAAACCCTGCAAGCGCTGCCTGGCCACTGCTCGCTGTGGGAGGAGGAGGAGGAGGAGGAGGAGGAGGAGGAGGAGGAGGAGGAGGAGGAGGAGGAGGAGGAGGAGGAGGGCGAGTGGAAGAGGAGGCGGAGAAGGAGGAGGAGGAGGATGTGTAGATCCAAGAGTCATCAACGATCTTGGAATAAAGCCTCCCTCCAAGTTCCGTCCTCACATGCCCCATATAACGGGTCGTTTCCATTTCGTTGGAAGACAACCGTTTGAAGAGTCCGAAGCGTGCCACAGCATTATTCTCGGGACTCTAACGCCACGGATCAACCTGATTGTTGCGTCTTGAAGATCCTGAATCGTACCAGAACGCGAGTGTTGGGATTTCAACACCGCGAGTCAAAGTAACTGTTGCAACCTCATAATCTTCAATCTTCCCACAACGCCGCTTCTGTTACGTTGGCCATAGGAACCCGTGAAACTGTTGCAAGTTTGTCGGCGCTAAGGCGAGAACTACATTTTTAAAGCCACCCGCCTTGAATCTTTGAAACCCTTCACATGTTTAAAACGAATGTGCTTGGCGCCAATGCGAGAGCCACATGTTGAAAACCACCCGCCCTCATTCCGTGAAGCTCTAGCGAATTCTAACGAATATGCGCGGCGCTGAGGCGAGAGCTACATTTTGAAAACCACCCGCCCTGAATCCGTAACAATTCTTACACATTTGTAAAACGAATGCGCTTGGCCCCAAGGTGAGAGCCACATTTTGAAAACCACCCGACCTCAATCCGTGAAACTCTTGCAACTGTTTATTACGAATATGCGCGGCGCCAAGGCGACAGCCACATTTTGGAAACCACTCGCCCTCAATCCGTGACGCTCTTGCTGTTGTTTACAACGAATGCGCGCGGCACTGAGGCGAGAGCCACATTTTGAAAACGACTCGCCATCCATATGTGAAAAAGTCAGGGTCGTAAATGGTGAGGAAGTCTCGGCGAAATGCCCAGCCCGTCCTTTCGACCGGCCTCGGGGTGCGACAGGGAGAAGCTATTTATAAGGAAAGGGAATGGAGGAGGAGGAGGAGGAGGAGGAGGAGGAGGAGGAGGAGGAGGAGGAGGAGAAGGAGGGCGGGAAGGAGGAAGCGGAGGGGAAGACATCGGGAGGGAGATCAGGGAGCAGCGTGCCAGCTCTGCACTCGGGACATGAGTTCTCCCCCTCCCGCGCACCAGGACTTCAGGGACGAGATCGCTCGCTTGCAGCAGGTGTCCTGCCAGGCGCAGGCGGGGGGCCCGGAGCAGGCGCCCAGGGACGCCGCCCTGACGGAGCTCCGGCGCAGAGAGCAGGAGCACCTGGACAAGATCGGTGATCTCAGCAAGCAGGTCAGCGAGCTGCAGAAGGTGATCGTTTTCTTATTTCTTGTTTTGCCGATCGGCGCGGGCCCTCGCACACCCCCTCCTCCCCCCTGGAGTAGATCTTGGCTGTTTTTTGGCGCCTGTTTCCAGCAGGTGGAGTCTCCCTGGTAGGGCGCACTACTGCAAACAGGCGCACTAAGCAGAGGTCTGGCCCCACCCTTCCGCCCAATGGCGAAACACCGAAAAACAAAAGTTCACAAGGCGCCCCTCATCATCCAGAGCCTCCTGACCGAGGCTGCCAAAAAGGACGTCGGGAGCGAAGACGCGCAGCGCCAAACGCATCGCCTGCACATAAATCTTGCGAAGGTTCCTGCAGCAGCATGTCTGTGAGGGTCCGAAAAACAACGATGAGTTCATGTATAAATTTGTTCATAAATTAATCATGTATTATCAATCCTATATGTTTGAACATCCAATGTATTAGAAACTGCCCTGTATGGTCTCCGGCGTGGTCTCCCGCATTGTCTCCCGTGTGGCGTCCCGGATGTGCTCACGCATGGTCTTCCGTCTGTGCTCACGCGTGCGGTCTCCAGTGTGGTCTCCCGTGTGGTCTCCCACACGGTCTCCCACAGGGTCTCCCGTGGGGTCTCCCGTGGGGTCTCTCCCGTGGGGTCTCCCGTGGGGTCCCCCCGACGGTCTCGCGTGCTCGCTGTGCTCCTTTCGTGCTCTTTGGGGTCTTCTGCCGCTGGGGTGCAGTGCGTGCTCACGTCGTCGCCGCCCAGGGTCCGCAGCCCAGATCGGGGCCCAGGTCTTGGCCGGACGAGCCGGAGGGCCAAGGCAATCCAGCCAGCAGCGGGGCACGCGGCGGGGCCGGCGGAGGTCTGGTGGTGGTGGTGGAGTATACGTGCTGCCTCCCGCCCCTCCTGCTCATCCTGCTCCTCTTCTCCTCGTCCTCCTCTTCCCTGTCCCTCCTCGTCCTATCTCTTTATGCAGTAAGCAGGTACGGATGCCGATATTGATGCTGGTGTTGTTGGTGATGATGGTGTTGATGATGCTGCTGATGATGAAGATGCTGTTGATGTTGATGATGCTGCTGATGCTGATAAGGATGATGATGATGCTGATGAGGAGGAGGATTATGATTATGAGGATGATGATGGGATTGTGCTGCTGATGATGCTTATTGCCAGGGAATGTTGATGCTGCTGATGATGATGCTGATGCTGCTGATGATACTGATGGTCATCCTGATGATGCTGATGCTGATGTTGCTGCTCATGATGATGCTGATGTTGATGATGATGATGATGATGATGATGATGATGATGATGATGGTGATGATGATGATGATGATGATGATGATGATGATGATGGTGATGATGATGATGCTGATGATGATGATAATGATGATCATGACCATGATGATGATAATGATGATGATGCTGCTGCTGATGATGATGATGATGATGATGATGATCATGATCATGATGATGATAATGATGATGATGCTGCTGCTGATGCTGCTGCTGCTGCTGCTGATGATGATGATGATGATGATGATGGTGATGATGATGATGATGATGATGATGATGATGATGATGATGATGAGGAGGAGGAGGAGGAGGAGGAGGAGGACGACGGCGACGACGGCACCAGGGCGGCGCTTTCTTGGCAGCATGGTGTGCCTCTGCGCCGATGTCCGTTCCCTCGCTCTGCGCTGGAGCTGCGGACCCCTCACCTCGTGTGCAAGGTGGAGAAGGACGAACACTTGAGAGGAGAAGCACGAGGAGGAGGCGGAGGAGGAGGAGGGGAGGAGGATGAAGAGGAGGAGGAGGAGGAAAGGAGGACATCATTATTATTTTTCTTCGTCTTCTTCTCCTCCTCCTCCTCGACCTTCTTTTCCTCCTCCTCCTCCTCGTGTTTCTCCTCCTCCTCCTCCTCCTCCTCCGCCCCCTCTCAGGACGAGGAGCGCAAGCAGGAGATCAGCCGGCTGAAGGTCGCCCTGCTGCAGCACCCCGCCGTGGCGCAGGACCCCCCCGACTCGCGCAGCGAGTCTGACGGCCCAGCGCGCCAACGCGGCAGTGCCTCCTCGGCGGAGGCCCTGGAGGCGGAGGTCGATCGGCTCAGGGGGCAGCTCAAGTCGCGGGACAGGGAGCTTCAG